CTCATTACAGAACCTTATCTTCTTTACCCAACTACGCCCAACATGATGATCTTCAAGACCAGGCAATTAAGTTTATCTGAACACTCTCTCTATATATATATATGTATATGTGTGTGCGCATTTGAATTGGTCAATATTTTGAAACCCATTTAGCTCGCTCTCAAATTTGTTTGTATCCATGTTGGTCTTTGAAGAAAGCCATATCGTCTTTCTATGTCCAAGAAATGTTCTTTATTCTATCTGTAAATTCAGGTTTTAGTTGAGGGAAGAGTTAAATCAAGAGCAGCTATACTCAACAGACCATCTACACTAAATGCTCTCACTAATCCCATGGTGTGTCCTCTGTCCTCCAATTTTCTCCATTTTTATTTTGTGGGTTTTTCAGTAATGTCCTTTAGTTCATAGCCATATCTAAATTTTGAAAAACTTTGTTTTCCATTCCAGATTGGTAGGTTGAAAAGACGGTATGAATCATGGGAAGAAAACATAGATATTGGGTTTGTCATTATGAATGTAATATATTTTTGTGCATCTTTTTCCCCAACCGTTGGAAGTCCAAGTTTTTTAGGAATCGTAAGTTACTTTTGATTTCATCTTTGAAGGGTAGCGGCAAGGCATTCTGTTCTGGTGCTGATGTTGTTGCCCTCTATCAGTTGCTTAATGAAGGTGGGTCGCCCTCTTTTGTGTGTGTGTGTGTGTTTTCGGAGTCCAGCATTTGAATTCTTTCGGATTAAGGTATCATCTTAACTTAGGTTGATTTTGGGTACATTTTCTATTGCAATAGATTTCTATGCTTCCTTTTATTTGCTTTGGAAACAACTTGAGAAATATTAGTATAAAAACTTGATTGATTTCATTACTAGTGTATATCAGATCATTTCACAAGGAACAATTTTACATAGTTCCTGCTCACTGAGTAAAACTACTAGTTCTAATGTACATACCTGACTAATATTTATGGTAGAGGTGTGGGGCTATGTAAAATTGTTCTGTTATGGAATCCACTGCGTACCTTGGTACAGAGGATATTATTAAATAGAACTAGTGATAGATTTGATGATTAATTAGCGTTGGATTTTATTTGATTGCTATTTTCGCAATTTCTTGAATGTTAATGTGTAAAACTTGAAATGGCCTTCGATCTTTGGCACCCCCTTTCCCCTCCAAAATTTTAAAATCGTCCATGAATTTGTTACAAGGGGTGGAGAAAATAGGGAACAAAATTATGGTTATTTGCAGTTCTGGATACAACCATGGCGCACCCTTGGATTTTCTGGCTGTGTACCCTCTTCGTTTCCACATCTAGTGGGTCACCTCCACGGGGTCTTCTGTCCCTGGTCCTTCTCCTTTTCCAACACGAGTGTCCGGATGTTGTTCAAGGACAGGAAGACAAAAATATTGAAATTTTCTTGTGTTGATCAGATTTCTGGGAGATTATATGTGGTTTCCATGGTTGGACGGTGATTGTAGCCATCAATATACTGCAAAAATTTGGGCTTATGGTGGATTTAATAACAAAATAGCAATACTTTCTTTGTGTGTTTAGTTTGTTTAAACTTTAATGATTTTGGTGTATGTGTGGGGATTGTATTAAGGGTAAACAAACCAAACACACAAAGAAATGAGCCACAATAAGTGCATAGCTTCTTGAAATTATTCATATGGACATTTGTAGACCTTCTGATATTCCATCTTTTAGAGGATAAAAGTATTTTATCGGCTTTATAGTTGATTTTTCACGTTATGGATATATCTATTTGTTGCATGAAAAATCTCAAGTTGTGGATATTCTTGAAATATACATAAATGAGGTTAAAAAACAACTAGATAGAAAAGTGAAAATCATAAGGTTATATAGAGGTGGTGAATATTATGGAACGTATGATGAAACGTTTGCTAAACTCCTTAAAATATATGGCATTGGTGCTCAATACACTTTGCTATATATGTTACATCAGAAGCGTGTAGTTGTAATACATAATCGTACTTTTGTGGAATTGGTTAGGAGTATGTTAAGTAATTCCTTGTTACCCATAATGTTGTGGATATTAAGTAATCTAAAGGGTACAAGTTTTACTATCCTAAACATAGTACGATAATTATTGAAACTGGCAATGTCAGATTCATTGAGAATGGTGAAGTCAGTGGGAGTGATAAAAATAAGAATGTGATCATTCAAGAAATTATGATCTAAATTTATTTATCCATAACTTCTAAGGAAATAATTGTTCCTTCAGTTGTTGAACCGTAAAACAACGAAAAACAATTGAATGATCAATAACTTCATAATGAGATTATTACCAATGAATAGATTATAGATGAACATAAGGAATAACATTAAGATGATCTCAAAGAGAAAGGAGATCTGTTATTCTAGATGATTATGTGATATATCTGCAAGAATCTGATTTTGATATATAGTGAGATATATACAAATTCGGTTACATATTCACAAATCATTAACAGTAATGATTTTACTAAATAAATTAGTGTCATGAATGAAGAGATTATAAAGAAACCTTCTTTCTAGTATTTAAGAAGGAATCTTTTAAAATATCACGGCATTAGTAGCTTATTATGATTTAAAGTTACATTAAATGGATGTAAATACAACTTTTATGAATGGGAGTTTATAAGAGGAAATCCATATGGAACAACCTGAAGGTTTCACATTAAAGGGTAAATAATTCATGGTCTGTAAAATTAAGATGTTAATATATAGATTTAAACAAGTTTCCTAACAATGGTATATTAAGTTTAATGATACTATTATTTGTTTTAGTTTTAAGGAAAACACTGTTGATCAGTATATATACTAGAAGGTTAGTGGAAGTAATATTATATTTCTGATTCTATATATTGATGATATTTTATTTGCTAGTAGTGATTTTAGTTTATTATATGAAATTAAAAGTTATATCTAAGAACTTTGAAATAAAAGATATGGATGAGGCTTCCTACGTGATAGGAATAGAAATATTTCATGATAAATGACGTGAATTTTTAGGATTATCTCAGAAAGCATATATTGAAAGAGTTCTAGAAAGATATGGTATGTAACATTATTCAACCAGTATTATTCCATACGTAAAAGGGGATAATTTCAGCCTAATGCAATCCCAAAGAATGAGTTAACTAGAAGATAAATAAACGAAAAATATTACTTATGCATATATTGTAAAGTTTGATGTATATACAAGTTGGTATGTGACAAAAGATTATATACTCACACTCAGGAAGATATTTATTAATTGGTTATTTGTTTCTTTTGGCTGGAAGAACAATATTAATTGGTAATTTTTTATTACTTTGTCAATCATGAATTTTTAATTTGTAGCATGCTTTGAGGTTACAATTTATTATTGTAGAATTTATTTCAAGATTTGGAGTTATGTGTACCATTTTCAGATTGTTGAAAATTCATATTGCAATTGTTGATCTTTTTATATGAAAAATGATAGGTATTCTAAAGTTGAAATATTTTACCATTAAAGAAGATGTTTAGAAATAACGAATGTCTATTGAATATATAAGCACACAACTTATGATTGTAATCCGTTAACGAATGGACTACCACCCAAGACATTTATGGAACATGCTAAAAGAATAGGTCTTGAATTTAGTCAATGATGATTATTTTTTAATTGTAGATTGTTTAACAGTGCTTATATATATTTGACATTTTGCGCTGATTAAATGTGTTTATGATATTTCCTATTAGTTAATGTACATGTACGTATTACTTTAATACATGGTAATAGGAATAGTCTTGGAAAAGACATTATTGTTAGATCATTATTGATACTTCTAATTCATAGACTATGTTGAATAGGTTACTAGTGTTGTGGTATATGGAAGGGACTGTGTCATTTAGGGACATATAACCGCCATGACTCGCATTGGTAGTTTATTTACCATGGTATTTACGATGACCAACTTAATGAGTCAATCTGATTCATGGTACTACACACTAATAACTATTTTACTAAACCACTACAGAAGTTATCATATGTGCCAAGTGGGAGAATGTAAGATTATTTATTTAATTGTGGCCCACATGATTTGGACACGTGATTTACTTATAATATTTGGTGGTTAAATAAAATAGATATCAGATTAATATTATATTATTTGGTAAACTTATAAATTACCTTTATGGTAATTAATTATTGGAGAAGTGTTTTCCTATTTATTCTTTTACTTTGATGGATGTGGAATTAAAGTTATTAAAAAGGAAAACTGGCCCTCTCTCTGCCTTTATAAAAGTGCATATTCCCATAAGTTATGTACGCTAATGAAAACAACATGTATAATATTTATGTGTGCAAAAGGCCAAGAGAGAAATCGATTTCCACACTTTGTATTGCAGTTTATCACGTTGTTCGTTCCGCAGAAAGGATCTCGACGTTTGCCTTGATCTCTTTGAGTTTACAATTACAGATCGAGATATCTATATATAACTATTTGTTTATGCATTATAGATATGTGAAAATCATGAAGTTCTAAGATATGAGATTCATGTAAATTTTGTGATTAATGATTTCACGAATTATTAAAGTTTACACAAAAATATCATTAATATATTGCGCAAACTAAATACTATATATATACATACAGTAGTATATATATATATATATATATATATATATACCAAAATGACAGCTTTTATGTTATCAGGTGTGAGAAGGGAGAAGTTATCAGTACTATGACCACCCTTGTCTAGGTTGAGAAGGACATCAACCAAATCTTCCTCCCTGCCAGCAGCTGCAGGTACATTACTGCTTTTGGTTGTGTGCTCATTGACAATGGTGTCGAGAATTTGGTCCATTTTCCGGTGCAACCTTCGGAGGGTAGGCTTGGTTCCACTAATGTAATGAAGGATTTTAAGTGAAGGAAATAGATCATGCAACCCAAAACCTCCTGATTAGCTTATTGCTTCGTGCAACACTTTTAAGAACAGTCCTTGATCTACACACGCCTTACCAAAAGCGTGCGTGCAATTATGTTGTTTGATAGTGAGTATATCTTAGTTTGATGATGATGGGATGGCTGCTGCTGCTGCGGCAGGAAGATGAAATAAATTGTATGAGATTCTCTACTTCTTCTTCTCTTACTGATTTGAATGAGTCTACACGTTTGGCGCTTAGGCGTTCAGTGACACACATCTTTCGCAGTTTTCTCCATAAATTATTACAGGGAGAGAAGACAAGGCTTCCACCATTATAGCAGATGACCTCAACAGCAAGAACTCGAGGCCTTGGCGCGCACTTGAGTTCGTGCTGCTTCAACACCTCCTGGGCTATTTCCGGTGACGATATGACTACAGCCGAGATCTCACCAAGTTGGAGATGCATAAAGGGTCCATGTTTCTTGGCTAAGGCCTTCAACGCATGGTGTGGAAGAGAGCTACCTAGGGCCATAATGGGTGCAAGTTACCATAATGGGTAGCTTCCATGGCCCTGGTGGCAGCTGCTTCTTTGAGTATTTAGATGTCTTCCGGTACAATTTCAGAATCAATAAGAACGAAATAAGAAAAGTTAGAAAAACCTCAAGTATCATGGTTTCTGAGCTGCAAATCTTTAATTTGTTTCAACTTTTAACTGCTAAAACTTCACAGGGTACAAGATGCTTTTATGGTAGGTGTGAAGCAGGGTAGTGCCTGACATTTGAAGCGAACACACAATATTATTTAATATATGTTGGATTCGCCAAAAATTAATTATGAAAACATAGGTTACTAGTTCTGGGGAATATATATATACACATAAAAAACACACTTTTATTTTATTTTTATTAATTAATTGTATCCCACCCTGTTACGTTATATCAGACGGTTGAAGGACGAGTTCTATTGTCCAAGATGCTGCAGAAGTTGTTAGCATGATGTAAGGATATTTGTCTGTCTTTTTTTTATTTTTTTATTCTCACAAACTAGAGGAGGGGTATTCTGCTACATAAGAGGGGTTATCATGTGGAGGATATTTGAACCCATTTTTTTTTTTGCAAATTAGAGGAGGGGTATTTTATTATGGGCAGATTTGCTTCCGAACTGGACACTCTACAAACTAAGGGAATTAGACACTCTATAAGCTAAGTATAACGGGTGGACGCTTACTTATTTATTTAAAAATTCAAGTTGGGTAATGCTGCATACTCACCCATTTATACTCATGTCACTTTTCATCCGGATCTGATGTGGGAGACTTATGTCACTTTCCATCCGGATCCGATGCGGGATAATTCTCCCCTTGTAATATTCTCCCCCACCCGAACTCACGTAATGCCCTCGTTGCGGTTGGATCACCCAGCCTACCCGGGGTGAAGACCCGGACGCCCTTCGGGTCGGGTGCTTGGCTTGACACCAGATCAAGGATTGGGTCTGATTCTGATATCAACTGTAACGGGTGAACGCTTACCTTTTTACTCAAAAGCTCAAACTGTTGAGTATTACTACATACCCACCCATTTATACCTATGTTACTTCCTATCCAGATTCGATGTAGGACAAGTCTCCCCTTGTAACACTAAGCCACTACACAATGTCGCACAAATAATTTTAAGGTTAATTTCAGTGACACCCCCTGAGATTTTGATAAATCTCACGTAGAGACACCTTTCGAAAATAAGTATCACTTAGACCCCCAAATAATTTTTCAGTCTCTAACATCGTTAAAAAGAAGTAAATATACATTTTTACCCTTATTTTTTAATTATATTTTAATTAAAAATATCATAAATCTTAAATGACCGAACTACGCTCATATTCTAAACAACTCTCTCTGTAAACAGTTTAATAGAAATGAAGCTTGCCCGTTTGTTTGGTGTAGTTATGTGTTGTTTGCCAGAAATAATAAAGGTTTTTGAACTGGAGCATGCCATTTTGTCCGTTGTAGCTTGTTGTTTGGATCTCTTTATAATATATTATATTTAAAATATATATTTTTGTTAAATAAAAAATAATTTACACTAATATTTAATATTTTAATTATATAGTAAAAATATAACTTTTATTAATATTTAATGTATCAGCAGTATATAACATGAATAACATACATTTTATTTGAAATGAATAGCAGATATGTAAAAATAATAGTGGAAACATTTTTGCTCAGCGGTGTTGAAAGCATGAGAAATATCTTTTTTATGTTTCATTCTTTCTTCACAAAAATAGAAAACGTTTTCTGTTATAGAAAAACAAAAACATATTATTAAACACGATTTTTGTTTTTGTTTTGCCTTTTTAGGGGTTGACAACAGAAAACAGAAAATGTTTCCCGTTACTAAACGCAGCCTAATGATGTGAAAAAATACCAGACATAACAATATACTAATTAATTAAAATAAAATACCATAAAGTACTAACAAACATAATTTTGAAAATAAAAAATGTATAAAATATGGGCTAATCAAAAGCCAGAATGTGGAATAGACCTACTCACCCCCTTCTAGTTCTTATCTCAATATCCTAATTTGCTGTGTTATTTATTGTGATTGCTTATAGTCTCAGTTAATACTTTTTCAGCTAGACTCACTTTTGAGTTATCTGATAAAATCCCTTTTCTCAAGTTAAGATGTAAAATGACATTATTCAAGACGACTTTCAAAAGTTTTATGAAAACAATAGAATTTTGAGATCTAAAGGATCCCTAGAGAGGGTTTTGAGATGAAAATTTGTTTTGAGATCGAAAGAGTGACGTTTAAGAAAATATGTATTTTTTGAATGAAAACGACCTTTAGAGAGGATTGTGAGAAGAAAATGAGTTTTGAGAAGAAACGAGTGACGTTTAAGAAAATGTGTATTTTTTTTTTCAATGAATACGACCTTTAGAGTGAGTTTTGAGATGAAAAGATTGCCGTTTAAGTAAACGTGTATTTTTTTTGAATGAAATGACCTCTAAACAGGGTTTTGAGATGAAAATAAGTTTTCAATGCTTGGAGCTTGATTAGTTAAGCAAAGCCTTGGAAGTTTGACTAATTATGTAGCAATAAAAAGAGAAAAGTCAATAAGATAACAGTTACTCCCCGTATTTATATAATCGCCTATAGAGTTGTCTCACAATTTAAGAAATGTACAATTATATTAAAACGGAAGTAATAAAATAGTGTAATACCGAGTAGATATATTTATTTGTTTGGCAACCTATCGTAAGTCAACGTCAGCTTATCAATCAGTGTCCGGGTTTGAAAATCAGGAGTGAGAAATTTTTTTGGGTGCTGCAACACATGAGTCATGACTGCAAAAAGGTCGAGTCTGATTGAAGAGTACGAACACAATGAGTTGGAATAGGAAAGATAATAACTTACTCCGTACTTTTCTTAGTCTGAAGCTTTTGCTTAACCATTGTAATTTTTTTTTTTAAGCTGCCCTTTCGTCAATTATCCAATATTCAAAGCCAGAGCCAGTTCTCATTAGAAGGAAGATCAGCCATATGTCATACAATATTTAAAAGGCCAACATGATCAGCTAAATGTTATACAATCTTTATATATGTTAAATTTGCCAACAGTTCAAAACGCACGTTTTCATATATATATATATATATATATTTATATTTACTCTTTAGCAAAGGTGTACTGGTGTAGTATAATGATACTTTCTTGTATATAATTATCAAGAAATTTTTTATTTTTATTTTCTCTATAGACTATTGTTTTACAAAATCATGGGTGACATCTATGTAATGATATAATTTGTGTTATATATCTCACACCATTAATTATTGGACAAAGGATCAAATAAAAATTACTGTTTGGATTGATTTGTCATATCTTATTACATTATTGTAGGGTTACTTGCTGTAATGAAAAAGCATTGATTGAATTAGACGGTTGAAAATCATTTAACAATTTCTTCATTTTTTCACGCCTCACTATAAGCACATCACATTCAAAATAACTTTCAAGGTGGTTCGAAATTATCGATACAAAGTCTTGGTTTGCATTAAAGTGGTCATGTCTAACAAGACGTGATTCAATTAAATAGGAGTAATTAAATTATGGTTTTTTAAAATATATTTTTACTTTGAATTTGCCACATGCAGTGGGGAAAGTCTACACTAACAACAAAATGAGATCACACAAGAAAGGGAAAAATTGAGTTTTCTACTAAACAATTCATGTTTTTAATGCTTAAAGATCATCTCGGAGGAAGTTCGTTGACAAACAACTTTAATTTTATAGTTGAGGAGGCAAAATTTCCAACAAACCCATACACACTCCATTGGAGCTAAGATAAGAATTCATTTTGATCCTCATTTTTAGCCCCATCTATGTACAACATTATATGATTTATTTTTTTGACTTTTCAGTGTTTATTTCCATCTAACTCAACAGACTCATTAATTTGAATGTTGAATGAATTTTAAGTTGGTTTATGTTAAAATAAAAAATAAAAAAAATAAAAAAATAATACCTTCTCCAGCCTCAGTGTATGCCAGAGTATTGTGCAGTATAAGCCCACCCTATAATACCACTCTGTCGTAATGTGATAAGATCACAAACATTAGTCAAAAAATAATTGTTATATCAAGATAAGAGACACATTTTTTCAACTGACACTTATTTAAAAATCTGCTAAAAGTAGGTGGGACCCATCTTCTTCCATTAATTCTTGATGTAGAACAAAACACATCAACCTGCATCAATGACTAAAAGAAAGAAAAGAAAAGAAAAAAAGAAATCAGGAAGAGAGAGAAAAGTGAAAAGTGAAAAAGAAAACAGTAAATGGTAGTGTGGCAGTAATTAATGGTAGGCTCTGCTTGTTTGACTATAAAATATTTTTATTTTCTTGAAACTACTTGCCTCTTGCTCCCCTTTTTCATTTCTTTCCATGTTTTTTATTTTTTCCTAATTTTTTCTTTCCATGTTTAAGCTGTCATACTTTCATTTTACTTTTCATTTCATGCTTTGTGTTGAAATTTTAATTCCATGCTTTACTTATCACTTGATTAAAAAATTGTTTAAGATTAATAGTATTGCTTCTACAAAATTAAATTAAAAATAGGTTTTTCATACATACTATAAATGAATAAATCCAAGGGAAAGGCACAATAAAAATAAATGAATAAATCCTCTAAGATGGTATATGAAAATTATTGAAAATGTAATGATTCATTTTCAATAACACCACATTTCGTAAAATTGGCGGAACATGAACGGATGCTGTCTCTATATATATACCCAAAAATGGTATACAAATTGACGGGCCGTTCTATCACATAGGACTCCTCAAATTGATTTATCACTTGGACAAATGGTGTAATGGTGTAGTCATCACCTTCACCATCACTATCATTAACACTATCACTTGACTCTTTAATAGCTACTTTTCAAGTTGAGGTTTGACTGTCTTAATTATTGTATAGGCTTGATTTTGTATTATGAGAGACAGAGAGTATGGACCATGCAGATAATTTGCTACTTCTTAGGCTTGAAAAGTTATATGCTCTGAAGGACAAAATATATATATTTTATGTATAAAAAATGTCCGCTACTTCTTAGATAATTTGATACCGATAATTTGACACAAATGTGAAACTTCTAGACATATATTTTTTAAGTCTTTTGCATTAAAAATATAAAATTTTCACATAATAGAGCATAATTGGCAAAAAGTTTAGAATTTCTCTAGAAACAAGTATTAGGATAATTATTATGCACTCTCAACTCACAATTTATTGGCTATAATTAAAAAAGCAATTGACCCCCTTTTTTTAGATCACCACAATGAACTATGAGCAATTTTGTAACATACGTGCCTCTCCTCTGTTTAGTTGCCATCAACAAATAAGTGCATCATGCAAAAATCTTGTTTAAAGCCTTTTTTACATGAAAAGAGAAGTGATGGCCGGCGTGGTGTGGCCGGATGCACTCCAACTTCTCATTTTATTGGAGAGTTAATGGTAGTATCCACTTAGGGAAGTTGCTCGCTTTCCTTGCCCATTTCGAATTGGAAGAGTTATCCAAGAGGGTGGTAGACTTTATCCTTGAGCTTATCCTACCCCCTTAGGCTTTGGTCTCTATTGAGATTCGTTGTCGGTTCAAATATTCTGTATCAGTTGCCCTGCTCCCTAGCTTGTTTGACACACACATAAAACTTAGAGTGGCTTTATATTACACATGATTAACAAATTAGCTAAACAACAGCTATTATATTTCATTTAACTTATGATTTTTTAAACCGAGAGCTCTTTTTTTGCATAAGCCTTTTTTCCAAGAGCTCCTGGGCACTTTTTGTCCAAGAGCTCTTTTTTGCCAAGTTCTCTCTTTGACAGATCGGATTTTTGCAAAAACCTGATTTTTACTTTAAAACCCTAATTTGCAATCCTATCCAACCTATCATAAATGTACAAAGTGTCTTTACTCAACATACTTGTTCTAAAATGATGTTCTTATATAATCGCACATAGTTAGACTCAAAGATAAAGGAAAAATTACAACTCGATTGAAGTCGTTTTAACAATGAAATTAGCCAATACAAAAACATGCATCTTACAAAGAGCTATTTAGAAACATGATTAATATTTCAAAATCCAATCAATATGTTGAAAATGGTTTTATTTCTCAATCTTTCTGGTGCTACTTAATACATTTATGTGTGCATATAATACATTTAATAACACCATCTCAATTCATTCAAATGGAGTTTATTGCTTCTGCTTCACGATTGCCATTTAATACACAACACTAGTGACACATTATAGTAACACCTGCATAATGAGTACGCCTTATTCATACATTATAACGTCTTTCATCATGCTAATGAGGATACCGGAATGGCAATTAAGTGCAAATCATTCCTTCTCCTTACACTTATTAATCCAAATATTTCTGTCATGTCCAGTTCTTCTGGCTTGATTCCATTTGGGACACTCCAGTCGAAATGATACAGCAGCTGAGCAAGTGCTAGTTCAATGCTTGCCATACCAAATGAAATCCCAGGACATATCCTCCGACCTGCCCCAAATGGGAGATACTCAAAATTTGTCCCCTTATAACTCATGCAAGAATCAACGAACCTCTCTGGTCTGAAATAATCTCTGTCACCCCAATATTTAGGATCTGTGCTCATTTCCCACACATTGATCAACATTTTGGTTTTCTCCGGTATCTCATATCCGTTAATTTTACATCTTTCGATTGATTCTCTTGGTATTAGAGGGCCTGGAGGGTGTAATCTCAAAGTTTGTTTGATGATCGATTTCAAGTAATTTAGTCCATGAATATCTGTCTCATCAATAGTATTGCTCTTTCCTTTAAGGGCCTCTCGAACTTCAGCTTGTGCCTTCTTCATTATTCTTGGGTTTTTTACTATCTCTGACATTGCCCATACTATGGTTGTTGCAGAATTCTCACTCCCTGCTCCAAAAATGTCCTGAAATAAAAAATAAAATACATATATAATTAGTAATCTATATAGTAGGTAGAACTAGTTGAAGCTAAAATTCTAAATGTAAAACATAACAAAATGACAGCTTTTATGTTATCAGTTGTGAGGGAGAAGTTATCGCCACCCTTCTCTATGTTAAGAAACACATCAACCAAAACTTCCTCCACAGGTACGTCATTTATATTGGTTGTGGACATGTCTTTCCTTTTGGCTCTATGCTCATTCACAATGGTGTCGAGAATTTTGTCCATTTTCAGCTGCAACCTCTGCAAGGCAGGCTTCATTCCAGTAATGTAACCAAGGATTTTAACTGAAGGGAACAGATCAGGCAACCCAAAGCCTCCTCGCAAGCGTACTATTTCTTCAAACCAATTTACGAACAAGCCTTCATCACAGCGTGTGCAATTATGTTGTTCAACAGTGAGAATATCTTCCGACTGAGATTGATGGGAAGCCCCCGGGAAGATGAAATAAAATCTATTAGATTCTGTACTTCTTCTTCTCTAACGGATTTGAATGACTACACGCGTTTAGCACTTAAGAGTTCAGTGACACAAATCTTTCTGATTTGTCTCCAGTAATCATTATAGGGGGAGAAAACAATGCCTGAGCCATCATAGGATAAGACCTCTGCAATAAGAATTTGAGGCCTTTGTGCGTAGTTGAGTTCGTGCTGCTTCAGCACCTCTTGGGCTAATTGCGGTGAGGAAATGACTACAGCCGACACCTCACCGAGCTGGAGATGCATCAAGGGTCCATGTTTCTTGGCTAAGGCCGTCAAGGCATGGTGTGGAAGAGAACTGCCTAGGGCCAACTCATGCAAGTTACCGATAAGGGGTAGCTTCCATGGCCCTGGTGGCAGCTGCTTGGAGCCTTTAGATGTCTTTCAAGGTGTAACGACCCGAACCCGAGGGTTCAAATTGCTAACCGGTCCTTACCCGAACCCGAGGTCAACTAAAAGCACTATCGCACTTTCTTATATCAATACATAATATACGTGTCATCCTAGGCTTTATAATTAATAATAATAATAATATGATAATAATAATAATAAAATGAGATCATGGCTACAAAATATGTCAAATAGTCCACTAACCCATCAAAACCTATGGAGGAACGTCGTACGCTACCTCCTTCTCGTGACCTGAAAAATGTTAAAATGATGGGGTGAACATAAGTTCAGTAGGAAGTGTCTAAGACACACCTTTTATGACCCCGTGAATCCACATATAGAATAGAAAACAAGAGAACGGGATCATACTATACCGGGGATGTAAACCATAACCACAACATCCATTATAAACACAAATGTCATCCAAGTCACAAATACACCATGTATGTCAATGAAGTGCAATGCCATGCTCATGTCGCTCCCCATTTCCGAAACATTTCCTTTTCAACTTCCAAACCGTTAGTGTAATCCGACCTAAGGCACCTCAATGGCATCACAAGAGGAGGATTGACTAACTATCCATGACCACAAGGCACCTCCAAGGCGTCGCATCTGGCCTAGCTAGCTCAACCATACTCCCCTCTAGACTACACTAACACCACGGACCACTCGGCGCCTCCTAGGCGTCCGGTTTTCACGAACACTTTTCAAAACATTTTTCCAAAATCATTTCATTTGCTTTCAAAACATTTTTCCCATTTTCCTTTCCCAATGGACGCATGAATGCTTCATGCTCCTAATCGTGAATTCAACCATAGAATTTCACACATGCTTTGCAAATTAAATCTCTAAAATAGGTAATTTATGTTTCCCTTCAACATTATTTTAGCAAACCGAGCATACAAGGCATAATTCATTTCACATAAGCATGCTATTACACAATTCCATACAAGTCATGTGTTTACAATAAAGCAAGCTTTGTAGGAAATTTCTAATAATAAATAACATGTCTCTATATTGAAAATTTAGCAATTCCAACACAATAGGCATAGAAATTCACCACTTAAACATACTTTCTCATACAACATCAATTAATTCACATAAATTACATGCTTTAATTCGAAAGAAAAATTTTAGAAATATATATCATGCTTTCTAATCACAAAATTCATCACTTATAACACAATAGGCATGAAAACATCATCATTTAAATATATTTCTTCATCACATATCAAGTTAGCATGTAAATACGTCTCATATACAACACATAACAAAGTTTGCATGAAATATACACAATTTAATCATGTAATAATACAAATTATAAGGAATTGACTCACAAAATCCAAGAGGTTATGGATTAGAAACCCCTACCTCAAGAATTGCAAAACCCCCCAATTTTGTGCCCTAGATTTCGAAATTCCATAGTGTACCAAATGAAGAATTGCTTTGATCAAATCGTAGATCTCGATGTGCTTTTCATTTTGCCGCAAACGGCTCTTAAAAATACCAAAAAATTGAGGGAGAAATCTAGGATTGAGTCTTGTAAAAAAAAAAAAAAAAAAAAAGAAAAGAAAAGAAAAAAAAGAAAATAAGACGGGAAGGCAGTAAGCTATGGGAGAGAGAGAATGGTGAGCCCCAAATGTGGCCTCCTTGCCACTTATGTGTAAAGTGGTGGGTCCCACCACTTTTTACTTAAAACTTTTGTTTTCCACCACACATAAATACTTATGCACATAAATTACAAACATTACAATCTACCCTCCTTAAAAGATTTCGTCCTCGAAATCTACCCTCCTTAAAGAAGGAGACCCACAACCATACACCTTCCCGAGAAACACCTCACCAAACCGTAGAGCTAAGAACTCAACAACCTTGTTGCCTTTGACACCCGATGCCAATAGACAATCACACCCTGTCGTCAGAAAAACCCAATGCTCACCACCCTATGAGGGTACTCACAACATCACCCACAATATCATATACAAAACCTATTGGATTATGCACTCAACTTAAAACCAACACTGACACAAGGCTTCGGAGTCGAAAGAAAAACGGTCACAAGACCCCTAAACATGACAATATCCTATCTCAGTCCATCCTTTAAAGGACATACAAAATCCCAAACAAGGAACCCCATTCATTACACAATCAAGCTCAAACTCAATCTTCACGTCCCTATCAGACCAAACACTCGCCACTTAACACACAGTTACACCACCATATATCGGTACAAGCAACCATCAACCGCACCATCCATTCGATAATCATTATACTTAACAACCTTAAGATAACTAAATAATGAATCTCTCAACAATTATATAATAATGTGTCACAAATAAATAAAGCGTACTATCCTGTACCTAGGACTTAAATCCTCAAAACAAGATCTTCAATAATCAGTGACTGTACCACAAACTCTTTTATCGGACACTTGGTCTTACCTAGCACACCTTGTTACCTGAGACAACCACCTGAATCCACACTATCTCACCGACTCAACCAGCGATACCGTACTCTCACTATTCTTGGCAAACCAAAACAATCATGGACCTTTGACCCGACATCGTGCTAAAGAGGGATTGATTTAGGAGAAATGGTTGGCCAGGCCATTCTCATCCTCGATCTGGTCTCAACACAGATGTCATCCCTGTCCTCAGGTCTAAACCTCAAACACATCGCCACACAGTCCACAAAACAACCAAGAGATCCACTCACTATCCGCCCATCGTTCCACATAACCTAAACAACTATACAGTTGCATATCAACATGCTAAAAGCAACACGACAATCATTCCTCGACCACACAATCATAACAAGCTAAAAACAACATGACACCAAACATTACAATCGTCGACCAGCACTAAAGATCCCTAATTTCCTCATAACATCCACACTAGGTAAACAACTCATAACATTTCTCGATTCCATTCCTACCCCGTCAAAACACACAATGTGACTATCTCATGCCTGAAACCTCAAAACCAAGGTCAATCATTCCTACAGTTCTTCAACGGAATCTCATAATCACGCTTTAGCTTCAAAACATTCAAACAATACCAACACTTGTCCTCAAGACACTGCTAGAATCAATCACCTCTAAAAACATCCAAATACATGAGTCACATCACATCACCTAATTATCCTCAAGCTGCGATTCACGACAAATATCCTAGCTATCACCGCTAGCACAAAACATCAGAAACACAACACCTATTCAGCAACTCGTGCCTCAGATCCTACCAGTCAAAACCACTCTCAAAACAAACATTATAAAAACCGAAGACTTCACCAGGAGTGAATCGACCTCTTCAATTAGGACCTCTATCGATGAACTCCAACAGCGTAACAAGCCGCTCACAAATCCGTCCGCCCACGGATGCGCACAACTCCTAGATGGAGTACAAGTCTCACGACAAACGACGCCCTTGCTTGAACTAGACTAACAAGAGACTGACGACTCGTACCTGAATTCACCCGAAAACTTGTCACACGCTACTCATCGATCGTCCAACCGTGGACACCTAATCTCACCTGAGATGAAAATAACTCCTTACCCACAAGGAGAAGAACCAACTGGAAACACATACAGGACTACGACCTCAAATCTAGCGACCCCGCCACAAACAAACCATCATACACTATGAACACCGAAACCTCGCACACTCTATATCATGATACGCATGCTAACCAACACCAATCAAATAAAAGCACCAACACTTACGGCACACCAACACTAGAAATAATCTCTACCCATCAGACACAACATCCCGTTTCATCCGAAAACCGTCACCCCCAAATGACAACCTCCATACTATAAAACAACACTTTTACCACCCATTCCACTTTTATCCTTCAAGGCAACACTCCCTTAAACACCGTACACACAAGATTCGTGAACTCAGTTATAGTAACTTACTGACTCGTCAAAAGAAAAGGTGTCTATCTAGTAACATCAGCCTTACTAGTTCTAAAGACTAAGACGTCCACCATCGCCTCAACTGGCATACAATCCCATCACATTTCTGACAGCACACAACAAACAACCCTCAATCCCTAAGTCATATTCGGATCACACCTTAAACCATTCTGCTCCTCAACATTAAACATCACACTACAACACCATAACACCTTCATCACCACTCATTCTAACCACACTTCTATCCTATCATCCCACCAGACCATCAAGCCACTACTAAAGGATCTTTCCTAGAATATCCTTAAGACAATATCATCGTAACAAAAAAATAAGCATTGCTCTCGATACTCCCCATAATGATCATTGCATACAATTAGAAAAGATCCTCCATACGACAATGTTATGCCGACAAACCCTCAAAACAAAATGAGTACAAATCTCAAAATGCTCAAAACCCAATTATCACCTCAATATCATCAACGATGCCATCAATCATTAACGCTTAACCGACAACACCAAACCATTCTTTCTAAGCGATCTAGGCATCCAAACAAGAAAACTTCATACCCTAAGTTCA